AGTCTCGTAACGCGACTGCGCGTCCGGAAGAGTGGATTTGTCAAAGAGGGGGTTCTAAGAGCATGATCCAAGTAACAAGGTCTCGCCAAAGTCGGGCTCAATTTTAACTCGGTTCGCGCACCATAAAAAAGCCGACCAATCATAGCGATTACCTGAAGCGACGACCATATTGAAGCGCTAAATTTTGAATCAAATACAGAAACAAATTTAAAGAACATAAAGAATAATAAATTAAAAGTAAAATAATTCTTTATTAAATATTAATATTTTTTATTAAATACTTATTATTAACTTGATACATAACATTCACATATATTTATTTATATATTTAAAAACATTACATTTATCTCTAATGCTGCAAGAACTGAAGGGACAATTTCTTTTCAATTTTCAGTGGATAAATGATGAGATAAATTTTGAGCCAGATTAACTAAGACAACCTTTTTTTATTTTGAATTTTTTTAGGAATTGTTAATAACAACATTCAATTTTAATATTAATTATTAACTATTATTGGGATTGCGAACATTACAGGGAATTGACCTTTTGCAAAATAAGGCATTAGTGGTAAATTAGTAGATAAATTAGATACTAAATAAACATTTTCCAAAAAGCGAATTATTAGTTATAATAATAATAATAATAATAATAATAATAATAATAATAAACATAAAAATAATAATTATTATTATTATTAATAATTCATTATTGACAATTATAATTTAATAATAATGTCATAATATTTATTATTATTATTTTTTCTATTCTTATTAGTAGAAAGCTTCAATTATTCGGTTTAAAGTTTCCACATTCATTTATCATTATGTATTAAATGCCCTATAAATAAATTGCATGTTTCTTTTTTATTTTTTCTGTATAATTTCACTACATCAGTTTCAAAAAAAATTCACGCTATTTAGTATTAGCGAATTTTTTTACACGTTTTTTAGCTTTCCTTTTAGAATTTTTCTCATATACTTTCCTATTCAAAATTCGCAATCTTATGTGCGTTCGTGTACGTACCAGACACAATAATACCTTTATATCTAATTTATCCAGTGAATGTTGCTTGGAATCTTGAAAATCAAATTACTATTTATTGCAATATTTATTATTATTATTAATAACTTTATATTTATTAATATTAATACTAATTAAAAATAATAATTATTATTAAAAATAAAATAACATTCATAATAATTTATTAATATTAATTACCATTTATTGTAATATTTATTATTATTATTATCAATAATTTTATACGTATTAATATTAATAATAACAATTAATAATATTTATTATTAAAAATAAAAATATATTAATAACAATAACAATCTTATTTTCTGGATTTGAAACACATTTAAAAATACGCGGCTAGACTTTCAATATGGTCGTCACTTCGTCCGCATTCTGATTGGTGCTTGGTTCCACGTTTTTTTTGCCTGCGCGTGGCGAGACCTTGTTACTTGGATCATGTCTAAGAGTCTCATTTTTAAATCAGCATTCGTTCGAGCACCCTCCATGTTTGTAGCAAGTGATAATTGTAGAACTAGGTCTTTTTAATAGTCTTTTTCATAGTTAAAAAGAAATTATAAACTTAAACCTAAGGAAAAAATTAAAAAGAAACGCAAACAAACTTATTTGCATTTACTTAAACCTAAGAAAACAGAAAAGACAAATCAAACAAACCTTAAACCACAAAAATGACACTGAAAAACATGCAATAAATCCTGAAACTATGAAAAATACTATTAAAAAGACCTAGTTCTACAATTATCACTTGCTACAAACATGGAGGATGCTCGAACGAATGCTGATTTAGAAATAAGACTCTTAGAACCCCCTCTTTGACAAATCCACTCTTCCGGACGCGCAGTCGCGTTACGAGACTGAAAGAAGTTATCCGAGTTGAGTCTACGCATGCGCGCTCTTCATATGTGCCATGTGGACGTCCACGTGAAAAGGACTTATTTTTGCACTATTGGAGTTATCTATATAGGCGTATTCCTAGCATTTGGAAAATTTTGAGTGGTCTTAGGACTTTTTTGGTTAAAAATTCGTTGAGTTACGGAATTTGAAAGTTTAGAACGCCAAAAACCTCATTTCGAGAAAAACGGAATTAAAGATTGCGATACAAACTAATTGTTGTATCTCTGGTTCTTCTTGAAAGTTATTCAGATAAGAATTGTTTCCAGTTCAGGGCACCTTAATGATAAAAAACCAACAGGTTTTAAATTTTTAAAACCATCCCCCCCTCTTAATTTTGAAAATTCGAAAAACCGACAATATGGGCTCTTTTCTAAAAAGGACAGTTTTTCTATTAAAAAACCATTTTTTTTACAAGATTAATGATTAGGTACAATTTATTGTGTCATTTGAATAAAAATAATAGATTCTGGGAAGTTATTCGGATAAGAATTTTTCAGTCCATCAGGGTACCTAAAAGATTAAAAACCAATAGGTTTTAAATTTTTAAAACCACACCCCCCGTGTAGAAATTTCCCTACTATGGCCATATTAGGGAATGAAACACAAGGCCCGACCTGGGCCAGATCGGGGCGACGATCAAATGTGGATTTCCTAATCAGGGCCATATCGGGCCGTGTGTTTCATTCCCTAATAGGGAAGGCCCGATCTGTCCCTGATATGGGCCATAGCGAAATTTCTACACGGGCCCCCCTCTTAATTTTGAAAATACGAAAAATGGACAATATGGGCCCTTTTTTAAAAAGGACAGTTTTTCATTTTAAAAACCATTTTTTACAAGATTAATGATTAGGTACAATTTTATTGTGTTATTTGAAAAAAAGAATAGATATTAAACTTATTTAAAATTTTTTGACAGTCTCTATTATGAAAAAATTGACGCAATATCCAAATTTTCATTTCGACAATTACGAAAAAAAAGACTCTAACATCAATATCTCTGGTTCTTCTGGGAAGTTATTTAGACAAGAATTGTTTACAGTCCAGGACACCTTAAAGATGAAAAATCAAGAGGTTTCAAATTTTTCCACACCTCCAATTTTAAAATACGGATTACTTTTGTAAATTACTGACAAAATGGGCCCTTTTCATTTTTCTAAAGAACCAACGAAATCAAACAGTTAAATTATCGATAAATTAATGAAAACAGCATGATTCGACTTGTCAAAACATGTAGATTGATAATAAAAAATAAAAAAATTAAGATTTTGCTCCAAAATTACTAAATTGCGATTATCTTGCAAACTAGAACCGACAATATGGGCCCTTTTCCTGTGGACGTCCACATATAAAGAATTACTTGATTCGCGAACTAGGTCTTCGCTTTATGTTAACGAATACAATGTTACTTTTCCATTATATATTACTTTTTTATTTTTCTATTTATCTGATTTATTTTAACTACTTTTGGATGATTAATACAAGTTTTTTAATTTAATGTAGGACTTGCTGAACAAATCAGAGTAGTCAAAAAGTAGTCTAATAATCTACTAGGAACTTCTTTGAGATATTTCTTAATTTTGTTATTGTTTTTTAATTTACATTAATTTGTTTATTTTATTTTATGCAGACATAGTACATTGTACAACTAGTGGCGAAAGTGTGATTTTTCGAGAGTGAAGTTTGCGGCTCGAGCGTAGCGAGAGCAGCAATCACTCTCGAAAAATCATTCTTTCACCACGAGTTGTGCACTACGTTTTCTCCAACGCCTTGCGAGGAAAGGTTTCTTCGTGAGTGTCGTATAACTTTAATTTAACGTGTGCTTATGTTTAATATAATAAAAGACGAATGTTTTGTCTAGGGAAGAAGTTAGATACAAAATAAATTTCGGTTAAAGAACAAGTAAAAAGAATAAATTCATGATTTACTTTCGCCACGCCAAATTTACTTTCGCCACGCTCTTTAGAGCAGTTGAGAAAAGTTCTACTTTCGCCACACTTTTCTACCAAGAAAAGTACTCCTTTCAGAGCAAGTGTTGGAGAAAATTATTTGTTTATTTATTAATAACTTATTATTTATTTATTTATAAAATATTAGGTACTAATTGATTTAAAAAAGAAAGAATTCAATTCGATTGAAATTTACGCGAGTATTAGGTAATTTTGACCGTTACCTTATACACAGAGCCTTTGCTTCAGTGCGCTTTTTGGCCCTGCGCGCAAAGACAAAAAATACAATATTTCCGAAAGTTTAAGAGTCTCCATCGGTTTCTTTATGTCAAAATACTCGTGAAATCCTAAGGAATCAAAATATCGCTATGAGAAAAAAATTAAATATACGCTTATACACAAAAAATTTGTTTAAACAATATTTTTAAATTTTTTAATAAAAAAAAAATTTTTGCAAATTTTTTCATTTTAATTGTTTATAAATAATAAGTAATCCCTGAAAAAATCATTGAAATACATCCATATGTCTCTGAGATATTGCGTTTTCAAAATTTCACAAAAAAAATTTTGAAAACCCTGAACAACCATAAATTTTCAAAATTTTCGAAAATCTCTTTTGGAATTTTTATTCGCATGTGTTCCCCTACAATTTTTCAAAGTTTTACCAAAATCGGAGAACTGAGGGACAACTTTGATTTGTTAGGTATGATTTGACCCAGTGTGCATAAAAATCTGTTTCGTGTTAACTAATCGGTGAAAGAGAGTTTTTAAATAATCGCTTCAGTGTTTTGACTGATTTGAGACGTAACAAAACATTTATTAATATACAATTTAAAATAATACTATTACAAAAAATATAAACTGAATAAAGAAATAATGAAACATAATCATAGTTCGCATAAAATTAACTTGCAAAATTTACAACTGTACTTTAAAGAATATGAATTACAAATTATATTTCCGATAATATTGTGATAACAAGAGGTCGCTTACACATAATCAGAACAATTTTTGCATATTCTTAACATTATTAATCCCAAAATTTATACCTTTTAATGGAAATTAGCATATTACATAAGCAAACATTTTCGTCAAGAATCAAATTACTACTATTGGAAAATAAATTGCTTTCAGTTTTTCTTTTCCTAACGTGTTAAACAAGTTATAAAGTTTCTTCGGTTTATATTAAAAAAAAAATTTTCGTAATTATTAAAATATTAATTTTTTTATAATGAACATTCATTAATAGTGCAACTACCACAAATAATATTCTTTACATCAATTTAATTATTTAAAGAAACATAAAATAAAAATTGGTTTAAAAGATAAACATGACTTTTATTAATTACCTAATAATAGTAACAACATTTTTTTTAATAACTCAAGTTCATACGTACAAGATTCTTGGCATATTCCCATTGGCCTTCAAGAGCCATAATATTTTTTTTCAAGCCTTAATAAAGAGTTTGGCAAAAAAGGGACACCAAGTTGACATTATATCCTACTACGAAGCAAAAAATCCACCAGATAATTATCGAGATATTATTAACCTATCAAAACTACCAAATTCAAGTTACTTTTTGTCAAAATCAGAATTCAATTCAATTCAAGAAGCAGTTGAAGAAAGTGGAAGCATTAAAAAACTATTAAGAGATACTTATGGACTTCCGACTTGTAAGATTATATCTCATGAAAGAATTCAAAATTTTATTAAAAAAATTCCGGAAAATTCGCCTTACGATGCTGTCATTACAGAAGTAAGTATACTTTAATTCTTTTTTTCCGAAAAAACGTTGTAAACTATTCAACTTCTTATTTAAAAATAATTTTTTACCATCATTCGTTAAAGGGTTTAGTAGCGCCTTGCTATTATGGATTTGGATTTTTACTAAATGTTCCTATAATATCAGCCTCGTCGAATTTTGAATTCACGCCACTAGCGAAACAAGTGGGAAATCCTCCATGTATGTCTTTCATGCCAACAGCTTTACTGCCTAAATTTCATCTAAAAACATTTTGGAATCGACTCAGGAACAGTGTTCTATCTTTTCTAATTGAAATATTATTTTTCTTAATTAGTGAAAAACAATCGATAATTATGCAAAAATATTTGAATAAGAATATTCCATCAGTTAGACAAGTTGAAAGAACTGTTGCATTAAGCATTATAAATACTCACCACTCTTTACGAGGAGTTAAACCTGTAACAGAAGCTGTTATCGAAATTGCCGGACTACACATAGAAGAAGATAATTCAACCCTATCTAAAGTAAGAATTTTCAAAAAAAAATTTTTGAACTAATAAATGTCCGTAATTGGTAAGACCGTATTTTCCCAAAATTTTTTAGTGCTCTAAACTGATATAATTTTGGTGCGACTGCAGACTTTATTACGGGCTAGCAGTGAATTCTTAAGCACATCAGGATTCACTGCTCGCCCGAAACAAAGTCAGCAACCTCACTAAAATTTTCTCAATGTAAACTTTAATATTCAAAAAAAAGAAAAGAGTCTCTCTTGCCAAGACATTAATTAAGCAACGCACAATCTGCTACTTATTTTCAATCAAATTTTTATTCATTACGATCTCTAAAACATTATGTTAAAATTTCAAGTCAATAGGAGCAAAATTGACGGAGTTATGAGTATCTTAGTTTTGATGGTCCTCGCTTTAGGATTAATGTTTTTTATTAAATAATAACCTTAAAGGTAAAAGCATTTTTCTCAAACTTGTCATTTTTGATGTCGATGTACGCAATAACTAAAAATCTACTTCACCAATCAATCGTTCTGCAATTTTGCAGAGTGCTTCTTTACATAATTTCTCAGGTATCCCTGGGAGCTTTATTTTAAATTACCAATTTTACAATAACAAATTAGTCGATTTTTTATATCAAAAATCAACTTTTTGGCTTCTAGATGCTACAAAAAATCGAAAAATAAAAACTCTTTCCAGCGTTACCTCAAGAAACATCTTTTTTGACAAATGCACTTTGATTTTTTTATTTTAAATGATTCTGTTACGAGTTACGGCTGAGACACCGGAAATCAACTTTTTTGAAGGCGCCTGAGAAAAATCACATTAACTCGCTTAATTCTCAATATTTTTTCATGAAAATTTAGAGAAATATTATTCAAATGTTGCAATATTATATGCAAAGCGATAAAATAAATTTGTTATCCCACATGCACAAAAATGGCGCTTTTAGATAGCTGACGACAGGGAGTAAAGTCCCAGGGAGTAAAAGTAAACTTTTACTCCCTGTCGTCTGCTATCTGAAATCGACACTTTTGTGCATTAGGAATAAAAAATATCGTAAGTAACATGGGAATAAAGTTTCTCGACGAACCAACACAACGCGATTAACTTTGTAAGAATAGTTTGTAGTAAAAACAAGTTGATATAAACTTCACTAGGGCTGTTTTCGGCACTAAACCAGGGTTAACCCCGAGTTAAATATTATCCAATCATCAAAAACATTCACCAATCACCATTAAGCCGGAGTTAACTCGGGGCGAGTGCCGAAAACAGCCTAGAAAAACAAAGTTTAAATTTTAACCTGATTTTGGGGTAAATATTTGCTACAACAAATTTTCACCTAAGTGAGGGCGCCACTTTCTATGTGAATTAGTATTTATTTTCTTTGTACAAACTTTCGCGCGTGTGAATCTGTCGGTTGTCGTTTTACATCTGATTTTCCTTTGCGCGTTTCTTTTCGATCCCCATTTAAGAGATATAAATTTGGAGGAATTAAAGGCGAATTCGCCATCGTCGTAGCGTTGGCATTTCATAAAAGTATGATTTTTCGTACATGTCTTAAAACGCTAAATTTAATTTGAATTAAATCCAACAAATTTTGATAATTAAAAGTAGATGTTATCCAGTACCAGCATTAAGGTACTTGGTACCATAAAAGATGTTACAAAAATATAATTATGTTACCCACTCCCAACGGGAAGTTGTCAATGGTAACAATTGGATCAATAATGGGCCATGCTTGGTGCCCAATGGTTTTTTCTTGGCAAAATAATTGGCAACCATCATTGGACCACCATTGGTTTTAGCTTGGGATGATCACGCTACTGTCAATGATCGGTAGCCAAGCATCGGGCTAATATTAGTTGCCAAGGAATTGCCAAGTAAACAAAATCGATTTTCAAAAACTTGATTTTTTATTGTCAGCCAACAAAAAACCAAGGTTTCGCAAATTAATTTTCTTAATTATTAATTAAATTTATTTTAAAAAAATATATTTTTCAAAAATATATATTTTTTTAAATTAATAGAACATATTAATTTAATTTTTCACCTCTGGTAAAACAAAGGTGAAAGACTGATAAAAATTCCCTCACCGTATCTCACAGTGGAGGGATGCCTGTGAATGTCTTTGCGAGAGAGGAGCAGGTACTTATAGAGCCAGTGTAACAGGTCACAAGCGAGAAGAAATCACTAGCATGCACTCTGGCGGCGCTTGTCGGAACTGTTTTCTGGCGCGCATGCATATCCTGACATTATCGACACAGCGCTTGACAACCATCGTTGCGCCACTTCCGACAAGCGCCGCCAGAGTGCATGCTAGTGATTTCTTCTCGCTTGTGACCTGTTACACTGGCTCTATAAGTACCTGCTCTTCTCTCGCAAAGACATTTACAGGCATCCCTCCACTGTGAGATACGGTGAGGGAATTTTTGTCAGTCTTTCACCTTTGTTTTACCAGAGGTGAAAACTTAAATTAATATGTTCTATTAATTTAAAAAAATATATTTTTTTTAAATAAATTTTAATTAATAATTAAGAAAATCAATTTTCAAAACCTTGGTTTTTTGTTGGCTGCCAATAAAAAATCAAGCTTTTGAAAATCAATTTTGTTTCCTTGGCAACTAATATTGGACCGATGCTTGGCTACCGATCATTGGCAGTAGCGTGATCATCCCATGCAAAAACCAATGGTGGTCAAATGATGGTTGCCATTAATGTTCCAATAATGGAACGGAGTTCGCCAAGCATGGCCCATTATTGAACCAATCGTTTACTTCCCATTGGGCTACAATCAAGATATTACTCAATACAACCATATGTATGTGAGAAATAGTATTATCTCAATACAATACTGTATTTTAAGAACAGCAATACAGTATTGCTGTTTCAGCTGTACATCCTAACCATTCCTGGTTAAAAAACCGGACAGATTTCGGACTAATCCGAAATTTGTCCAAAACAGTGCGGTTTATGGTCAGGTTTTTGTCACCCGAAATTAATCCGAATAAATCCGAACACTATACGGTTTGTGAACAACTAGTAATTCCGGAGTTGGTCCGATGAAGTCCGACATTAATCAGTTAATTTTAACTAGTGAATCCTGAATTAGTCCGAAACAGTCAAAATTTAGTCCGGACAATTTAGTGAATGTTAATAAAAAAATAATTATACAAGTTACACATATTAATTATTATTACTTTATGGTACATTCAACATATTTTTCGATTTACCAATCGCAATTTTATTTACATTAACTTAAAATTTCTAACGCTTGAGGATTCGAACCTACACCTATATCTAACATTATATCGCACCAAAATCGAATACACTAACCACAATACCACGCTCGCATGGGAGTTCAAATTCATAATAGAATTTATCAAGTGCCACGAAAAGAAATGACGAAAAACTAACTCATCAGTGTTAATTATAATATTAAAAAATCTGCCCGCCCTCCGGGCGGACACATTCTCGTCCGCGCTTCGCGCGGAGAGCTCGCAAGTTTCAGCGCGCCTTATTGGTCGTCGCGCTTCGTGCTCCGTAGATTGTTGCGCGCTTCGCGTGCAAATAGCTCGCTTCGCTCGCAGTCGTCCGCGGAGATTGTGCATTACTTGCGTTCTTGATCCTTTTTCCTATTATATGTTTTATAAAACTTTTTTTTCTTTTTCCTACTATATGTTTTATCAAACTTTTTTTCTTAAAGTTACTACGACTTTAAGGATAACATTCTCATCACCTATTTTTGTTTGCTGATGATTGCAAAATTAAGTACACTTTTAAGAAAATTTTTAGTCCTGGGTCAAATCATACTTAACAAATCAAAGTTGTCCCTCAGTTCTCCGATTTTTGTGAAACTTTGAGAAATTGTAGGGGAATACATGAGAATAAAAATTCCAAAAAAGATTTTCGAAAATTTTGAAAATTTGTGGTTGTTCAGGGTTTTCAAAATTTTTTTTTGAAATTTTGAAAACGCAATATCGCAGAGACATATGGATGGATTTTAATGATTTTTTCAGGGATAACTTATAATTTACAAACAATTAAAATGAAAAAAAATTACAAAAAAATTTTTTTTTGTTTTAAATAAAATATTTAAAAAATATTGTTTAAACAAATTTTTTGTTTATAAGCGTATCTTTAATTTTTTTCTAATAGCGATATTTTGATTCCTTAGGATTTCACGAGTATTTTGAAATAAAGAAATCGATGGAGACTCTTAAACTTTCGGAGATATTGTATTTTTTGTCTTTGCGCGCAGGGCCAAAAAGCGCACTGAAGCAAAGGCTCTGTGTACAAGGTAATGGTCAAAATTACCTAATACTCGCGTAAATTTCAAACGAATTGAATTCTTTCTTTTTTAAATCAATTAGTAACATTTTATTAATAAATAAATAATATTTAAACAATAAATAATTAGATAAAAAATAAAACTCGTAAATTTCAATCGAATTGAATTCTATCTTTTTTTAATCAATTAGTAATATTTTATGAATAAATAAATAATAAGTTTTTAATAAATAAACAAATAATTTGTCTGCGTAAAATAAAATAAACAAATTAATGTAAATTAAAAAACAGTTCCGAGTAGATTATTTGACTACTTTTTAACTACTCTGATTTGTTCAACAAGCCCTACATTAAATTAAAAAACCTGTCTTAATCATCAAAAAGAATTTAATTAAATCAGATAAATAAAAAAGTAATATATAATGGAAAAGTAACATTTTATTCGTTTACATAAAGCGAAGACCTAGTTCGCGAATCGAGTAATTCTTTATATGAAGAGCGCGCATGCGTAGACTCGACTCGGATAACTTCGTTCAGTCTCGTGACGCGATTGCGCGTCTGGAAGAGTAGATTTGTCAAAGATGGGTTTCTAAGAGTCTCATTTTTAAATCAGCATTCGTTCGAGCTCCCTCTATGTTTGTAACAAGTGATAATTGTAGAACTAGGTGTTTTTAATAGTCTTTTTCGTAGTTTCAGGTTTTATTGCATGTTTTTCAGTGTCATTT